GCAAATTTTCAACAGAAAGTTGAACTAGAGTGAACCACTTTGAAGTTTTGCTTAAAATAAATGAACTAAGTAGTCAGCGTTTTTAAAACAGCATTTAGAGTTTGTCTTGAAAAACTGGAAGGTATTATTCTGAAAACCCAGATTAGATTGCACAAGCAACACAGATGAAAACAGTCAGTCCTAATAAGAAGTGGTAGCTACTCTGAGTTCACGTTAGTGGCCACTGCCACCACTAATGGCACCTTCCCGACCATCCTTTAAGAATCTTAGAATGCATCAACAAACAAAAATTACACTGATGAATGATAATGGAAAATCAGTTCCTTTACTTAACTATGTCAATTTCTATCAGAATTCATAGACATCATTTTTTATCAGGTAGGGAAGAATAAGCAATTTAAAAGAACTTTTTGGAAAATTAAATGTAACTCCTTAATATTTCAATCAAGACTAAGAAAAAAACATTTGGAAATACCACTTCAGACAAGGGTCTCATTTGAAAAGTTTACAGAATCATTCAAGGCCTCCACAAGAAAAAGATTAATAACACAATTATAAAATGGGCAAAAGACATGGAAAGAATTTTCAGAAAAAGATATTCAGATGACCAAGAGACACATGAAGAAATGCTCAAAATCACTGGCAATAAGAGAGATGTAAATCAAAACCACAATGAGTTACCATCTTACCCTAGGAGTGGTGGCATAGATTAACAGAACAGCAAGTAATATATGTAGGAAAGGATGTGATTAGATAGGAATTCTTACACATTGTTGGTAGGATTGTAAAATGGTACAACCACTCAGGAAGGCAATTTGGCTCTTCCTAAAAAAACTGAACATAGAAATTTCATATGAACCAGCTATTCCACTGCTTGGAATATACCTTGAGATAATGAAAAAAGAACAACAATGTCCATAGTAGTGTCATTCACCATCGCAAGAACATAACAGCCCAAATGTCTAAACACAATCGAATGGATTGAGAAACTATGGTACATTCACACAATGGAATACTATGCAGCACTCAGGAGCAATGATTTTGTAAATTACTACCTAACTTGGGATGGACTGGAGAGCACAATGCTGGGTCAACAGATTCAGTCGCATAAGGTCAAATACTGTATAAGATCATTAATGCAGAACAGCAGAACATGTATGAGAATCCAAAAGGTAAAGTGGGGGGAGCAGAAGGGTGTGGATGGGCTGGAGTCATAGGCTGAACAATCTGATGGGTGGAGGGAAGGATGGGTAAAGGAAATGGGAAAGATATGGTGTGAAAAACAATATATACAAACTTTATAAAAATTTAATTAAAGATAAAAAAAGAAAGGCAAAGGTAAAATTTGAACTCTAAAAAACAAGGCCCCAGGAATAGATGGTATACCAATTGAGGTATTTCAGCTAACAGATGCTACCCTGGACGTGCTCACCAAGTTGTGCCAAGAAATCTGGAGAATAACCACTGGGCCAACTGACTGGAAGAGATCATTCCATAGAAGGGCGGCCCAACAGCATGTGGAAACTATACAACAATATCACTGATTTCACATGCAAGCAAGATTCTACTGAAAATCATCCAAAAATGACTGAAACAGCACATTAGCAGAGAACTGCCAGATGTCCTGGCTGGGTTTAGAAGGGGCTGTGGGTACTAGGGATATTGTAGCTGATATTGGATGGATATTAGCTGAAAGCAGGGAATACCAGAAGAATGTCTATCTGTGCTTCATTGATTATGCAAAGGCGTTTGACTGTGTGGATCATAAGAAACTGTGGCTGACTCTGAGAAGAATGGGAATCCCAGAACATTTAATTGTGCTAACACGAAACCTATACTTGGACCAAGAGGCAGTCATCAGAACAGAGCACGGAAACACAACATGGTTCAAAATTGGGAAAGGTGTATGCCAGGGATGTGTCCTATCTCCATACTTTTTCAACCTGTTTGCAGAACAGATTATTCGAGAGGCTGGGCTCTATGAGGAGAAGTGTGGCGTCAGGATTGTTGGAAGATCTATTAACAATCTGCGCTACGCAGATGACACAACCCTGCTTGCTGAAACTGAAGAGGACCTCATGCACTTGCTGCAGAGGGTCAAGGACTGCAGCCTTCAGTATGGACTGAGGCTCAATGTGAAGAAGACAAAGTTTCTCACTACTGGACGAATCGGCAGCATCAGGATGGATGGCGAAGAGATTGAAATTGTTAACAACTTTAATTTGCTTGGCTCCACGGTCAACACTCTTGGCACCAGTAGCCAGAAAATAAAAAAAACATATTGCGATGGGAAAGTCTGCTGTTAGGGACCTCTCCAGGATACTGAAGAGCAATGGTGTCACTCTGGAGACTAAGGTGCGCCTGATACAGGTTATGGTCTGTGCAATCACTTGTTATGCATCAGAGAGTTGGACAATGACTAGGGAGGATAGAAGAATTGATGCCTTTGAGCTGCAGTGCTGGAGAAGAGTGTTGAATATACCCTGGACTGGCAAGAAAACAAACAGATTCATCCTGGAGAGGATTAAACCAGGCTGCACTTTGGAGGCAAGGATTCTTGGGCTTCTTCTGACATACTTTGCACATGTTGTAAGGAAGGACAGGACCTTGGAGAGGGACATCATGCTTGGGAGGGTGGAGGGATGGCATGTGGGGGAAGACCCTCTATGAGGTGGACTGATTCAGTGACTGGGGTAATCAGGATAGGTGTGTCAGAGGCAGTGTGATTGGCACAGGATAGAGCAGGGTTTAGGGCTGTTGTACATAGGGTCACTATGAGTCGCAAGCGACTCGATGGCACATAACAACAACAATGATAAGAAAAATATATCACAAAACCACAATAATGAATATAGTGTGGTTCAGTCAAACAGAAAAGTCAAATGAAGTAAACCAAGAAGCCCAGAAATCAATGCATATACAGATTACAATAAAGTTAGGACATCAAACTGTAGAAAAGGATGGATTACATTTCTTTAGACAGGCAATGCAGCACAGTCTGGAGCCAGACAGCCTAAACTGGCCTCCAGGCATGATACTGCGGGTGACCATGGATAAGCAAAATGTTTTCATTTTTAAAATGGGCATAAAAATGCTGCTCCACAAGATCACTGTGAAGATCATTAGCAAAAATCATTAAGTATTAAAAATAGATTCACAAACACACTGAATCTTATACATGAGGTTAAATAAATAAAATATTCTATGTTAATTCTCAATTCTTACTTGTGAACCACGTGGTGAAAGAAATTCCTTCATACCATATCTAAAAATTTAATTTGGGGCTTTAAAACGTGAATGGTAAAAAATGAAATTAAGACTACACAAAATATTTCTAACTGGCAACTATCTTTTCTCAACATTATATTTAAAGTAGTATTAAAAAAATAGATAGATTTGATTTTAAAAATGTAAAACTTTGGTCCATCAAACATTA